TTTCATTCTACCACCTAGTTACTTAGCTCCTGATATCCTGTATCTCTTACTATTAACTTAGTGTTATATGTTCTTTTTCCAAATCAAATTATATTTCAACTGCAAAAACCTTAATCTCATTAACGTATCACAGTTGTTCCCATGTAATAATTTACTGCACAATTAGATGAGGGTTATACATTTATTTATAAGATAACCTTCAAATTGGCAAATTTGAATGCAAATCAGACACTGCATTGGTAGCAGTTTATTGTATTTTCACTCCAAAGTATCAATATAAAAAATGTAATAGTGTAAACAAAGCATAAAGTGAAAAAAAATTTCCTGAAAGCTCAAAAAACAAAACACAAAAAGATGGTGGGATAAGACTTAAGAAAATAATGGAAATATTTCTTATGTTAATTGCTGAGATAACTCCTCCAGCATTTGGTGCACATTTATTTAATCAATGACACTGAGAGATAAATTACATATAGTAGTTTATCAAAGTAGCACAATTAACATAATGACCATCAATAAGTGACCTGATACATTTTGATCCATTTGTTTCAGACCTGGATCTCCATATGGAAGATATATTTGGATCTTGTAATTCTGAATCTAAACCCATAAATTGTTACTATTACTTAACAATTTATAACTTTAAATTGTTAATATTACTCTGGAGAGTGGGAAAGAGTATCATGGTGAGTGCATTGCTTATTTATTATCTATAGGTAGTGGATGCAGCAATTCACATTCAGATGCTATCTCCAGAGTCACTGGATGTTTTTGGCATTAGAAATAGAAAAGCTAAGACACAGAGAGATTTAGTGAAATAACCAAAGTCACACAGGTAATCTCAGAGCTAGGATTTCTCCCCCAAAAGCTTACTTCTCTCAACTTCCTCTGTCTCCCCCACTGAGCTCAATCAGAGATATCTAGGTAGCCTAACTCCTTACACACAGACCTTTATAAAATGTGGTGTGGGAATAAATAGCTTGTTCTTTTGTGAACTTGTTTAATTTCTCCAAATGTAAAAAACTCCAATTATCAGGGAAGAAAGAAAAGATGTTTAATGTTGGATAGGAATACAGGACTCAAAATTCATTTCCAGTGGGCTCAGGTATCCAAAGGTAACAAAAGAAATATGAAAGATACTTGTAATTTTCTTAATATCAGAGGGGAAAATCAAGTAGATTACTATGAGTTGACACAAGGGATACAGTCCCTAAAGACCAAAAACAAGAAATATGTTCTACTTAAGTTAGAATGCTCACTCCCTAGTCTGTTTTGAAGACTCTGTAAGTGAAAGTTATGGTGAAAAGTGAAAGATTCAATCTCTGCTGAATGCAGTTTCAGTTTTTCTACCTCTGTAATGAATGGTCTCTAAGTCCATTCTAACTATGCCTTTTGTTTTACCTGGGACAATCAGAAATACTACTTTCTTTACAAAGAAGGGTTTATGGGCATTTTCTTGAATTTTTTTTCTGTTTTTGTGAATGTAGGCCTAGAACAGGAACAAGCAAAAGGATCAAGTAGAAGTCAAGCAGTAAACAAAAAGTAAGCCAAAGATATGTAGAATTCTGTTCATTTAACTTACTGACATTAAGAAAAATTCACAATACTGTTAAATTTTATCACTTTCTCATTACCCCAAATCTATGAAAGCACTGAGTGCCTAAGAAAGTATAATAAGGTGATGTGGCTCAAGTGGTAGAGCTGCATGAAGCCATGAGTTCAAATCCCAGTCCTAACAAAAAGAAAGTATGATAAATAACTACTACATCTGTTTTTATTACTAATGTTTGTACGTCATTTGGAGAATTATAAGCAGCTGAAAATAATAAGAATTTAATTGCTTTTTTTGAAAACAGCAATACCTCAGGAAACTTTATTCTTATTTTCAGAAGTACCTACAAATTTATAGCCTATATTAATATTTCTGGGATAGAAGTTGCAAAATATCAATAGGTTGGGGAGAATACTGAAGAGAAATAGAAGTAAATTTTCAGAGTAGAGAAGGAATTCCAGGTCTGGTGGCACACTTGAAATCCTAGTGCTGAGGAGGCTCAGGCTGGAATATCACAAGTGTGAGACCAGTTTGGGCTACATAGAAAGACCCTGTCTCAAGAAAAATAGAGGAGATGGAAGCATATAATTTGCATGATGTTGTTTAAAACAAATAACTTTTGATTAATAATGTGTATAATAAATGTGGGTTCCAAGAGAGATAAATTTTAGCCACCAATCAGTTTTTTATAAGAAGTATTGATGAAACTGAAAATCACACTACTAAGTGTATTGTGCACTACTGCTCATATATATTATTGACAGAGTCATTCTAAATGATCTCAAATGTTAAAAGAATAAAAATTGCATTAGTGGAGTATAAATATAAACTCCATTGGCTTTTTTTTTTTAAGTGTATGGAGGGAATGACCTGACTTAGCAGCTATCCTGTCAGACAGAGACCTCCATGTTTATGTAGGATTGCTGCTTTCTGTAAACAAAAGGTATTTTCTCATTTGTCCACATAGTTGTCCAATAGGCTTTTTGATTCTTGGTAAGTTGTTTTGTTATTTATGTTTCTCTCTGCAAAAAAGCTAACACTGCTTAAATAAAATAATGCTTACAAAACATTCACACAGTGTTTGCTGAATGTAGGATTATCAAAGAAAAGTTTAGCTTTTTTTTCTGATCATTACTTTTCTTTGTATGATTAATAAATCTGAAGTATTTTATTCTTTTCAATGTTTTTGTTAGACTATGCTTTCAGAAAGTTTCTGTTTGGAAATTAGAGAGAGAGAAAAAAGATCCATTCCTTCCTTTTCACTATTGGGAAAATGTTATTTTATGGTTCAAAAACCATTACTCCAAAGAAGAGGACCTAGTCCATTCATTTGTCCCAGTGAAATGAAGATATGAGAATATACGTTAAAGAAGGAAACTATTTTGGCATCATGAGACCTATGCTGTAGTTCTGGATTCACCATAGATTAGTTGAGAAATCCCCAAACTTTGATGACTTCATCCAACAAACATATTATTATAAATAACCTTAGGATATTAGCTACTAATTCTTCATTTTTCCTTTGTGGTGAGTCTCATATAAGATTACAGGAGCAAAGAAGGATACTTTGGAAGTGTTATAAAACTCTATGAATATATGTAGTGTTTTTGCTTATGCTCTTGAGCACCTATGTCAATAGAAATTAGCAGAACATCAGTAGGCATTTGTGTATGCAAGGAAAAATATCAGCTCTGTTCACTCTTTTCCACACTTTATTCAGTGGATCCCTTAATCTCTAATGTGAGCAAAGTTATGGGATAATATTGGCCTCATGTTTTGATTTTCAATGGTATCAAATAACTTCTTTCTGTGATTGATAAGGGATTTACCTCTTCGTTTCAACTTCTGAGTCATTTTTTCATAGTTAGCCCAGTAAAATTCAATCTACTTTTAAATAATCTGAGGTGGGGGTTTGAGTGATAGTAAAGAAAAATTTAACTGATAGCTATCATTGTCTAAATTTTTTATTTGGAAGATATCTAATGATTGTTATTTTTCCTTTTATTTCACTTCATTGCAATTTATAAAGAATGCTTGGGATGCTTTTTGTTTGTTTGTTTATTGTCCTGAGTGGAGATACATTGTGGCATTTACAAAAATTTTTTCAATGTATCAAATATATCATACTTGAATTCACCCCCTCCACAGCTCTCCTTATTCCTTCCCTCTCCCTATTCTTGGAATAGCTTCAGCAAGTATCATTTTTTAATTTACACACATGTATCTACACTTCTTTGCACTGTATTCACCCTCCTACCCCTTTCCTGTCATCTCCTCCCTCCCCCCTCCCACTGAAGGTTCTGCTGTGGTCTCCTCTGATTTTGAAGGAGAAATAAAAAATAAGAAAGTTTTGAAGGTAGCTACACAGGGTGTTTTCTTGTGATATTTCCACGTATATATGTATTATAGCCCAACTGGTTTATTTCCTCTAATTTTCTTCATTCTACCTTAATCTTTCTTACTTCCATTTAGATTATATGTTATTAAGTTATTCCACATATTCAATAAAATAGTAAGAGAATTCTATGTGCTGTTCTGGTATTTCTTGGTTCTGTTATTTAGTTAAACAGATACATGAAAACATAAAAATTGTGCATCTTACTGGGGTATCGTGATTTTTTTGATACACACTTACATTGTGTAATGTTCAAATTAGGATAAACATGCAGACCTCCTCATACTTTTATCCTTTACTCTGGTGAAAGCATTCAAAGTCTTTTCTTCAAGTACCTAGCTGTTTTCTAAGTCAACTTTTTGTGTAACAGTTTTGTTATGAACCTGTGAAACTGAATGTTAGAGGTTTTCACTGTTTTGGCTAGTCCTGCTATTTTTTTTCAGGGATATTTTTCATTCTAATATTCTAACTTTCTAATTATTGGAATGAATTATTGAAAATTCTCAATACTTAATGGACTCAATTTTTTTGTAGACCCTGACTCAGGGATATTGGAAGTAAATTTTAAACCCTGTTGGCTGCATGATGACACACTCTACTTCTTTGTTTGTTCATAAAATTTTAAAGTGCCCCCTCATAGAGATTCAACCATTTCCATTGTTTGTCATTATTTACTAATTATGCAAAATTTCAATATTTTTAATTGTTCCATTAGTTCTAAGAAGGCTTATTGAATGGTATAATTTAATTCTGAACTTATTCTTTAAAAGATCCATAAAGAGGTCTACTATGTCAAGTATTCATTATCATAAATGATAAATTATACCTTAAGACTATGTTATGATTATTCAAAACGTAGTGGTCAAAGTACTCATAATTATTAGGTATTAAATTACTGTCTCCAAGCCATTGGAGAATAGCTGGAACATGTCAAATTTAGATTCAAGTGTTTTTTGATTGACCTCAAGTCCAACAGATGTTTTACTATCTTCATCACTTGTCACTCTTCTGTTACATTCATATATGTTAGGAAATTATATTTATAGCTCAATCATGAATTCATTTAACCAAATGCAACAATCTATGCTCTCTCTTATTGTAGCTCAAAGAATCAGGTACATGACAAAAATCCAGGACAAAAATCAAACAGAAGTGGTGAAATTTATCCTTTTAGGACTCTCAGACAATCCAGATCTACAAGGTGTTCTCTTTGCCTTGTTTTTGTCAATCTATATAGCAACAATGGTGGGTAATTTGGGGATGATTGTACTGATTAAGATTGATCACTGTCTCCACACCCCCATGTACTTCTTTCTCAGCAGCCTGTCCTTTGTTGATGCCTCTTACTCTTCTTCTGTCACTCCCAGGATGCTGGTGAACCTCATGACTGAAAAGAAGGCCACTTCACTTAATGGGTGTGCAGCCCAGTTCTTCTTCTTTGGCTCCTTCCTGGGAATGGAATGCTTCCTGTTGGTCATGATGGCATATGATTGATATGCAGCCATTTGGAATCCCCTACTATACCCAGTTCTGATGTCTGGGAGAATCTGCTCCTTCTTAGTGGCTACTTCATTCCTAGCAGGCTTTGGCAATGCAGCCATCCACACAGGGATGACTTTTAAGTTATCTTTTTGTGGTTCCAACAGGATCAACCATTTCTACTGTGACACCCCAACCTTGCTAAAACTCTCTTGCTCTGACACCCACATCAATGTCATTGTGATCATGGCTTTTTCCAGTTTTAATGTCATTAGCTGTGTTATGATCATTCTTATTTCCTACCTATGTATCTTCATTGCCATATTGAAGATGCCTTCAGTAGAGGGAAGACATAAAGCCTTTTCCACCTGTGCCTCTCACCTCATGGCTGTCACCATCTTCTTTGGGACAATTCTTTTCATGTACTTGCAACCTACATCTAGCTACTCTATGGAGCAGGACAAGATTGTTTCTGTATTTTATACAGTAGTGATCCCCATGCTAAATCCAATCACCTACAGTTTGAAAAATAAGGATGTAAAAGAGGCCATGAAGATCTTACAGAAACACATGCTGTAAAGTTGTGTTAACCATCCTCTTTTTATGTAGGATAAAATACATGTTCCCATTAGATCTACTATGTAATTGCTGAAACATTTTTCCTGTGCTAAAGTAGATGGTTAAAATGATGACAGCTTATTATCTTAGTGTCTTAAATATGTCTATAATTTCCATGTGGTCAAGCAACATAGTGGATTAATCAGTCTGATTAATCAGTCTGATTAATCAGTCTGATGCAAGTACCAAATCATTGGAAATTGACTTAGGTTCAAACATTTACTTTATCTTTTTAATCTCACTTTTATTATATATCTATATAGCTTTACATATACCTATGTATACATATATGGTTGTGTCTAGTTGAGCTAAAGGCAAAAAGACTTTGAGACAGTCTTGTGTATGCGGGAAGCTTGTTTCAATGTGCTCTCAGGAACAGTACCTTTGTTTGGAGGATAGCAGGCTTGGCCCTAAGAAGTTGAATAGTGTTGAATTGCATAAAAATATTTAATTAATTCCAGGTGGAGTTCTGAAATGAGATGGTCCTCCAGATATGTCTCAAACTTGTAACCCCAATGGCCAGTTTAGAATGTGGGTTGCTTAATAGGAGGAAGCATAATCTTGGGCAAGGTACATCCTTTCAGCAGGAGTAATTCTTAGAATAGAAGTCAACTGTGAACTGTCAGCTGCCCAATTCTTGGATGCTGAGGAAATGAATATTTCAACCAGCAAAGGCATATCTGGGTAGTGAATTACAGCATCCAGGGCAAATGACAACACTTATCCACTCATATCACTGTCAAAAATATCATATAAGGTACACAAAGGAGTGTTATTAAGTGCTATGGTTAAGTGAGAACCACAATGTTTATTGGGAAATATTTTGCTGACTTTCTGTATCTTGGAATGTATTGAAATTAGAAATCAAGGTACCTTAACTTTTTATGTATACTTCTCCAAATTTTCAAGTAATTTGAAATAAACATTTATCAAATTAAATTGTCTAATACTTATGCTAACTGTTTGGGAAGCATGTTCTATTGCAGTGGGACAGCAGCTTTCTTGATGTGATGCTATGTGATTTGCAATCAGGTAAATGTCTAGTCCTTATTTATTTCCATTCCATTATTCACTGCAGACCATGAGGGAGACTATTAGTATTCTGTCTGCTCCAAATGAGACTACTTTATACCTAAAAACTTGTTAGAGATCCCAAGGGAGCAATTATCTCATCTTGACAACCTCAAGCATCCTTTTTTATCAATGGATAAATTCTCCATTTAAAAGTAAACCAAGATTTTTCTCAAAGATACCTGAAATTGTATCATGCCTTAAAAAGTTCTTCATTTATGCTGTTATTCTTGTTCATGTCCTGTTTAACTTCTTCCTAACTGCCATTCTGAATTAGTTGCCATTTTGTCATTATTCATCACCACTATTATGTTCAAACTTCACTCATTAGCTATTTGAGGTTCCATGGTTGATTATATAATGGTTTACTTTGAATAACTCCATTCCATAGTTCCATCTTCCTCCCATCTACTCATCTTATTATGTACCAACTTAAACTTAATTTGTTTCTGTGCTATGTTTCTGATGTATGTATCTGATGTCAATATTCATTTTCAATCTTAGTCTTGTGGGTTAGTTTTATTTGCTCTCTGTTGTTGAACAACTTTTCTGAATTAAAGTCTACATTTATATGACAGGAGAATTCTATCTCCATTATTTTAATTTAGTTTATTGTGAGCATCTGTGTCCATGAGGGATGATGTTTGTAAATCCATACTCTTTTATAATACCTGTCCTATAGAACAGTCCCTATGTATTTCTCAGAATGTAAATCCAAATTATCTATGCATGTTGGGAAGAAAGAATTACAAAAATTGATGATATAAATATGTACTCATAGACACATAGGATATAATTTCATTTTGGTTAATTTCATCTTAATAATATATATTTCATTTTTATAAATTTATACATTTACAAAATGTATATGTATGCATAAATAAGACCAAATTTTCTAAAATAGTTATTTTGCTAGACAGGATTTAAGCTGATTTTAGAAATAAGAAGATCAGTTTAAATGGCTATTGTAATAATCTAAGTAAGGAGGATGATGGATTTGGAGATAGGAACTGAGAGGGCAGGAATACAGGTTATAAGAGGAAGTGTGTTTCAAGATGTAGATATTTGAAGGTAGAGTCAACAAAATTATTTTGTGGTTTTGTTATAGAGTGTTTGAAAAAGAGAAAAGATTACATCTATTGGATATTAATTTGTCAGTTTATTTAATTTCATTGATAATGCAGAATTATCAATGATCTATGATGGAAAATACTGTGTTTGCAGCAAATTAGGAAAAGACATGAGGAGCTCAGTTTTGGTCACATTTGTTGCTACTTGATACCCATGTCTTGATAAAATCAACAGAATTTTAAGTGTTGAGTTTAGAAAGGAGATTAGGTCTAGAGATATAAATTCAGCAGGGTAAGTATATAGATGATATTTAAAACCAAGAGATTCAATAATATTACCAAAGTTGAATGTAAATGGAAAAGCTAGGAAGATAAAACAGAATTCCTATCTTTTCCAACTTAAAGATTCAATCTACAGATTTAATGCAATTCCCATCAAAATCCCAATGATGTTCATCACAAAAATGAAAAATCTACCCTAAAGTTCATTTGGAAACACCAAAGACCTCAAATAGCCATGGCAATACTGAGCAAAAAGAGCAATGCTGGAGGTATCACAATACCTGACTTCAAACTACATTACAAAGAAATAGCAATAAAAACAACATAGTACTGGTACAAAAACAGACATGAAGATGGGTGGAACACAATAGAGGACCTGGATATGAATCCACACAGCTATGCCCACCTTATTTTTGAGAAAAGTGCCAAAAACATATGATGGAGAAAAGACAGCTGCTTCAACAAATGTTGTTGGGAAAAGTGGCTGTCTGTCTGCAAAAAACTGAAACTAGATCCATGTTTATCACCCTGTACTAGTATCAACTCAAAATGGATCAAGGACCTTAATGTCAGACCTGAAACTCTGAAGTTAGTATAGGAAAGAGCAGGGAATAATCTAGAAGTAATAGGTATAGGCAATGACTTCCTCAGTAGAACCCTAGCAGCTCAGCAACTAAGTGAAAGGATGGACAAATGGGACTACATAAAAATAAAAAGTTTCTGGTCTCTAAACTGAAGAGACCACCCACAGAGTGGGAGAAAATATTTGCCAGCTAGATATCAGACAAAGGACTGATAATCAGAATACACAAGAGACTTAAAAAACTAAACTTTCCCAAAATCAATGAACCAATAAAGAAGTGGGCAACTGAACTGAACAGAACTTTCTCAAAAGAAGAAATTCAAATGGCCAAGAAACATGTGCAAAAATGCTCACCATCTCTAGCCTAAAGGAAATGTAAATCAAAACCACACTAAGATTCCACCTTACCCCTGTTAGAATACCTATCATCAAAACCACCACCAACAACAAGTATTAGTGAGGATGTGGGGAAAAAGAAACCCTGATACACTGCTGGTGGGAATGCAAGCTAGTGAAACCACTCTGGAAAAAAAATATGAAGGCTTCTTAAAAATCTAAACATAGATCTGGCATATGATCCAGCAATCCCACTTCTGGGGTTATACCCAAAAGAATGTGACACAGGTTACTCCAGAGGCACCTGCACACCCATGTTTATTGCAGCACTACTCACAATAGCCAAGTTATGGAAACAGCCAAGATGCCCCACTACTGACAAATGGATTAAGAGATATGATACTTATATACAATGGAGTTTTACTAAGCCATGAAAAAGAATGAAATCTTATTATTCTCAAGTAAATAGATGGAACTGGAGAACATCATTCTAAGCGAGGTTAGCCAGGCTCAGAAAACCAAAAATCATATATTCTCCCTCATATGCAGACCTTAGATCTAGGGCAAATGCTGCAATGTTGTTGGACTTGGGTCACATGCTAAGGGTAGAGCACATACTGGAGGTACGGGGACAGGCAGGAAATCCAAAACTTGAAAGTCTTTGATGTCCCCACTGCAGATGAGCTAATACAGAAACCTTAAAGTGACAGAGGTCAATATGGAAAGGGGACCTGGAACTAGTGAAAGGTCAGGTACAGATGAATCAGTTTGGTTTGTAACACACTTATTAATGAAAGCAATGCTAGGAATCTCTCTTTATAGGTATCCTTATCTCAACTAGCAAAAACACTTTGTCCTTCTTATTATTGCTTATGTCTTCTCTTCAACAAAATTGTAGAAAAGGGCTGAACAGGTTCTGCCTGGCAGTGAGAGGGGGTGGGAAGGAAAGGGAGGAGGTTGGGGGGTGAGGGGAGAAATGTCCCAAATAATGAATGCACATATGAATGAATGAATAAAAAAAGAAAGAAACAGGCAAAGACAGAGAAAAACCCACCCATGTGGTGGGAAAAAAAAAACAAAACTTGAACAGCTCAGTCTGATCTCCTGAAATGTAAGAGAAGAAAGTCTTTCAAGGATGTGTATACGATCTGCTTGGTCAAATTTCAATGAAAGATCACAAAAGATGAAAAGTAAGAATTCATGATTGACTTAAGCAATGTTGTCATATTAGAATTGATCAGTTTTTAGGACATGATAAATAGTAAGCTGCGACAAGAAAAAATAAGATTGGATATAATGAGCATATTTTCCCATGTCAGTATTTCAATTGCTAAGGGAAAGGCAAAGAATAAGATGGCAGGTGATGAAAAAGTCAGGTCATGGGAGGAATAAGGAAAAACTGGATGTTAGAGTGAGATACGAGGAAATGGGGTAAATTGTCACATGTCTCACAACACACATGCTAATGCATGTTCATTTTTAAGCAAAGTAGTTTACTGAGTTTACTTATAGAATCTTTTCTTCTTTACTTCAATCAGATATAAAGAGTCACTACACACATGTTCTCAGAACATGATAGAAAAATGAGCTATTTGACTTTCCTTGTATTTTTGTAATAC